TACCCTACCTCCAACGACATCTGGAAGTACCTCCAGGATCGGTTCATGAACAAAACGGCGGTCGGAATTGCCATCCTCATCCCCAGCATGTTCCAGGTCCGCCTTGAGGATTGCTCGGGAATGGTCGACTACATCGCCAAGGTGCAAACTATTCATGGCAAACTTAAGGAGCTGGGTATAGTCTTCCCCGAACAAGCCCCTGCACCCGCCCTTCTAGTTGGTCTCACCTCGGCATATGAAGTATCGAGGAAGATGCTCCTCACGCTCTCAGCGGAAGACCTCACCTTTGCTAAGGTCTCTACCGCACTCCTCTCTGCTGAGAAAGACTCCACAGCTCAGGCCAAGGCTTACGTCATCCGCGCTCCCATGCCGCAAGCAAGTGTCGCATCGGCCCTCGCCTCGGCGTCCTTCAAGCGCAACCGCTTCCCTCCGTGCACCTACGTCGTCAAGTATGGCAACCGCAAGGGACAAGTGTGTGGTGGCACTAACCACCCCCTTGCGTCGTGCTTCAAGAAGAAGGACGACGAATGGTATGCCATTCACGGAATGGACAAGAAGCCGCCAAACTGGATGCGCCCTCGTAAGGCCAACCTAGTTGAGGTCCAGGACCCCGCTTCGGCTAGTGCTAGTGATAGTGCTCCTGCTGATGTGCGTGTCAACCTGTTGTTCCCTGGCACTGCCATGATTAATGAAGCTACCTCCCACCACATCGGCTCATCACAAGCATCACAATATATAGAGTTCACACTCGACGGCGGGGCCACCCACACTATGCTCAAGGAGACACTCTCCTTCAAACCCTACGCAACACCCATTCCTCTCTTGGGAGCTGACTCAAGCTTCACAATTCTTGCCAAGGGTACATCCACAGTCCCGTGCCCCGCCTTCCCATCTGGCACTGTCACTGGCATGTGCGTGCCTTCACTGCGCCACAATCTACTGGCTCAAACGGAAATTCAGGATGCAGGACTACGCACTGTCTTCTCGGAGAACGAGGACCATTGCGACATCATTGATCCGCTCACCAACAAAATCTTAGCCCGCTTCACCCTCAATTGCAGCGGCCTTTACACGCTATGCGTACCTCTCCCACTGGTGTCAACCACCCAAGCACAGGCTACTATCACACCATGCCCATGTCGCAACCTCTCCAATCCGACCATTCTTTACCACCATCGGCTCGGGCACCCGGACTTCCGCACACTTGCTGACATGGCCTCCAAGAAACTTCTTCTCGGCCTGCCAGCCTCACTTCCTCCACCACCTCACTCACCCGCTCCCCCGTGCCTTGATTGCACCAAGAGAAAACTGCACCAACAGCCCCATCTTGCCTCACCCACAGTCGCAGCAGCACCTCTGGACCTCATGCACATGGACGTCTAGAGCCCTGCCCCGGTTCCCGCACAAGGTGGCCATCGCTACTTCCTTGCAATTGTGGATGACCACTCCCACTGAGTCTCTGATCACCTCCTCCACACCAAGGCTGAGGCCCCAAAGGTCATCATGGTGTGGGTCAAGCAAGCACAGACCGCCTTTGACCGCAAGGTCAAGCGCCTTCACTCGGATGGGGGGCGGGGGGGGGGTGAATTTCGCAATGACAAGCTCAAAGCCTTCTGCTCCTCGGAAGGCATCCAGCAAAACTTCACCCTTCCGGACAGCCCGCAGCAGAATGGTATAGCAGAGATCTGCAACCACACCCTGGTGCAGATCACTCGGTGCCTCCTCAGCCATTCCAACGCTCCACTCTCTCTCTCGGGGTACGCCCTCTACCATGCCGCCCTCCTTTATAATCTTTACCCCCATCCGCTTCTTCCCGGCACCACTCCAACCACACTTTGGCTCGGGAAAACACCCAGTGCTCGCTCTCTTTGCATCTGGGGGTGCACCGCCTATGTCCTCCTCAACCCTCAGGCCAGGCGACAGCGCGGTGGCAAACTCGGTCCCAAGACTCAAGCGTGCATCTACCTTGGGCACAACGCCGACTCCCCCGACTATCTCTTCCTCAACCCCTCCACTCAATAGTTTGTCCGGAGCCGCGACGTTGTCTTTGATGAACTCCACCCATTCTACTCCACCTCGGGATCGGATCCTCCTTCTGATCCCCCCTCTCTTGTGTGGGCAGACTTTGATGCGCACCCTGACCCCCCACCTGCGCCGGACCCTTCACCACCTGCCTCCTCTGCCATCGCACCCTCCCCCTCTGAGATCTCTAACCCGACATCGCCGGTGTCTTCGGCGGCTGCCCCTCAATCCCCCTCACCTCCCACTCTGCCGAGTGTGCTGCCACCTCTGAGCGCACCTATCACTTACCATCGGCGCTCACACCCTCCGGCCCCACATGCTCCCCCAGTTCCCCCTACCACCAAGGAACCCGCTCTCCCACAGTCCCCCGAGCTGATCATGTACCACCGGCGGCCCATTCCCCCGCCCAAGCCTCCTAAGTCAGCCCCTCCGACACCGCCTCCCCTACCCTCTTCTCCGGTGGCTCATGGCACTCGTTCGCATGGCGCTGCTCTTCCACTGGCACTGATTCTTTGATGCACTGCCATCTCAACGCCTCCTCCTTCTGGGGGGGTTGTGCCCTCTACCCTTCTGGAAGACAGGTATGAGGAGCTGTGTGATCTTCATGCACTCATTCCTCAGCTCTCGCACATCTTCCCCGACATCACTGAATCACCCTCGCTCAACTTTGCGGAGAACCCGACCATCCCTATCCCTCTCACCATCCAAGAGGCTCTCTTGGGTCCCCATGCGGTCGAATGGCATGCTGCCATGGAAGCAGAGATTGAAGCGTTCACCCGCAACCACTCCTTTGACGACGAGACTCCACCTCCAGGAGTCAACATCGTCGGAGGCAAGTGGTTGCTTCGTGTGAAACAGCTCCCTGACAAGGCCCCGGTGTTCAAAGCACGTTACGTAGCCAAGGGCTTCACCCAGAAGCAGCAACACGACTTCTTCAAGACCTTCTCCCCCACATCCAAACCTCCCACTATTCGCACACTCATGGATGTCGCAGCACGAGAAGACTTTGATATCAAATCCTTGGACGCCTCATCAGCTTTCTTACAAGGACGCCTCAAGGAGACAGTCTTCATGGACAGACCTGAAGGCTTCCTAGGAGAATTCCCTCCCAACACTGTCTGGAAGCTGAATCGCCTCGTCTACGGCCTTAAGCAAGCCCCTCGCGAATGGCACAACAAGGTGAAAGAAGTCCTTCTCTCCCTGGACTCCCACCCCTCGTCTGTTGACCGACTCTCTAGATTCGCCGTCATTCTGAGCCATTCTACATCCTTGTCTACGTTGATGACTTCATCCTCGTTGCCAAGGACTCGGCCCAGATGACCTCTGTCCAAGCGGCCCTGAGCAAGGCGCTCCAGATGAAAGACCTTGGTGACCTCAAGCACTACTTGGGGATGGAGATCATATGTCATCGCAAGGCTCGCACAATTTAATTCTCTCAGGAATTCTACATCAGCAATGTGCTCAAGCGATTTGAGATGGAGCTGTGCACACCTGTTGCCACACCGCTGCCGCTGCAACACCTCCTCACGGCCCCAGCTGTACCCACATAAGAGGCCTGCTCTGAGCCATACCCGGAACTTGTTGGGTCCCTCATGTACGCCATGATGTGCACCCGGCCTGACTTGGCATATCCTGTCAGTGTCCTCTCTTGCTACGTGGCCCCTGGGCGCTTCACTGATCTTCACTGGAAGGCAGCGAAGCGGGTACTGCGTTATCTCCAGGGCACCAAGTCTCACGTTCTCACACTCGGTGGGCTCTCCCCTCCTCGACTGGAAGGTTACACTGACTCCTCTTGGGCCGATGACCATACCGACCGACGCTCCTCTCAGGGGTACTACTTCACCCTTAGGAGCGGAATTGTCAGTTGGCGCTCCACTAGGTCGTCAGCAGTGTCCCTCTCCTCCTGTGAGGCAGAGCTCTACCCTGGCACCATGGCTGCTCAAGAGGCCCGTTGGCTCACCTTCCTACTCCAGGAGCTTGGCTACCCTCAGTCCACCCCCACCCTCTGGTGTGAGAACCAGAGTACTATCCACCTCTCCCCGTATATCACACTCACACCAAGCACAACGAACTTCGGCGTTTCTTGATCCGTGACCTTGTCCTGCGGGAGCAGCTGAACGTGGAGTACGTTGCATCTGACTGCAACCTGGCTGACATGTTCACCAAGCCCCTTGGGAAAGTTCCTCACCACCGTCTCCTTGGCGCCATGGGGCTCTGTGCACCACCTTCTTTGCCCTAAGTCCGATTCACGCCTATGGCGGGGTGTAAGTGTTAGCCTTCAATCTTGCACTTTGTACTTTGTATTTTCTATATCCTAGAGCAGTGTGGTTTGCACTTTGTGTTTGGTTGGGTGTACACCTACATTCCAACCAAACCCAAATGTAATCTCCAAGCAATCTCCAACCCACCAATTGGAGATTGCCTTGGGATTACCCCCAATCCCTAGGGATTGCCCTCGATTCCCTTCCCATCCATTCCCTACCCATCTTGGATGTACTTAAAGAGCTTCAAACTCATTACTAATGCATCGCTTCTAAGCCTAAGTTGTGACACTACCCGCATATGCTGCTTGCATGTGCTGCTTGCATTTGTTGTTAGCATATGTTCTTGCATGTGCTGCCACCCTATATTGCTTATATGTGCAGCATGCAGTTGCAGCCTGCAACTTCTGCTTGCATATGCTGCATGCATTTGCTGCTTGCACATTGGGCATGCAATTGCTGCTTGCCTATGCTGCTTGCATGTGTAGATTGCATGTGCAGCTTGTATGTGCTGCTTGCATTTGCTGCTTGCAGTTGCTTTTGCATGTTTTGCCACCACATGCTGCATGCATGTGCTGTTTGGGTGTGCGGATTGCGCATTTGGCATGAAAAAGCTGCTTGCAAGTGCTGCTTATATGTGCTTCTCGCATTGCCCCTCCAGTTCAATGCAATCTGTCTTTATGGGCAGCCCATTACTGTTGGTGGCTCCGGTTACCCATGCTTGTAACTCGTGCCACATTCATCACATTTCCTTCCAAAACTTCACACTACCAGGGAAAACTGCTACGTGTCAAGGATATTCTGTTCTGGGAGAGTGGTGACGTTGACATCAGCTTCTACCCAAGTAGGAGAGCATTGCTGCAGGCGCTGGGTCAGGCCTTGGGATTTACAGAGCAATGGCAGCATGATCAACTTGAGCTGGTGTATGAAATTGACCAGCCTTGAACAAGCCACAGCCACATTCGAAAATTCTTTCAAGACTTCCGCTATGACTTCCTTGCTCCTGCTCGTGTCATTGTGATCAAAGCATTCAACATTGACAAGTGTGCGCGAGCGCGTTATTGACAACGGGAAGACGGAGATCTCGGCGTTCCGTGCTACCTTTTGTGCAGGTATGTACGCCACCAACTCACATCACCTTGTATTTCTTCCCCTCCCACCCTGTGTATTTCATCAAACGCTCCCGCTTATCCTTCTCTTTGATCATCTTGCTAGTTCCTCCCTGCCTTGCACCCCCCCTGGATTCATCTCCTCCTTTCCCGCCTCCCCTTCAGATCACACCCCCCCCTGGATTCATCCCCCCTCCCCTTCAGATCGCCCCCCCCCCCCCCCCCCCCCTGGATTCATCTCCTTTCCCCCCATCCCCCTCAGATCGCACCCCCTCCTGGATTCATCTCCTCCTTTCCCCCCTCCCCTTCAGATTGCACCCCCCCCTGGATTCATCCCCCCTTCCCTTCATATCCCCCCCCCCCCCCCCGCCCCCCCTGGATTCATCTCCTCCTTTCCCCCCTCTTCTTCAGATCGTGCCCCCCCCCTGGATTCATCTCCTCCTTTTCCCCCTCCCCTTCATATTGCACCCCCCTGGATTCATCCCCCCTCCCCTTCATATCGCCCCCCCCCCTGGATTCATCTCCTCCTTTTCCCCCTCCCCTTCAGATCGCACCCCCCTCTGGATTGATTTCCTCCTTTCCCCCCTCCCCTTTAGATTGCACCCCCCCCTGGATTCATCTCCTCCTTTCCCCCCTCCCCTTCAGATCGCATCCCCCCCCCTGGATTCATCTCCTTTCCCCCCTCCTCTTCAGATCGCACCCCCTCCTGGATTCATCTCCTCCTCTCCCCCCTCCCCTTCAGGTCGCAACCCCCCCCTGGATTCATCTCCTCCTTTCCTCCCTCCCCTTCATATTGCACCCCCCCTGGATTCATCTCCTCCTTTCCCCACTCCCTTTCAGGTCGCCCCCCCCCCCCCCCCTGGATTCATCTCCTTTCCCACCTCCCCTTCATATCCCCCCCCCCCCCCGCCCTGGATTCATCTCCTTTCCCCCCTCCCCTTCAGATCGCACCCCCCTCTGGATTCATTTCCTCCTTTCCCCACTCCCCTTCAGATTGCACCCCCCCCTGGATTCATCTCCTCCTTTCCCCCCTCCCCTTCAGATTGCACCCCCCCCCAAGATTCATCTCCTCCTTTCTCCCCTCCCCTTCAGATTGCACCCCCCTGGTTTCATTCCCTCCTTTCCTCCCTCCCCTTCAGACGCGACATCACACGGCTTGATGACACGGAACAGGAACGACGATGGCGTGCCTTTCTCTACCGACGTTTTCATTCGAGCCATCACTGCTTCGTACTTGTGAGAGGGTCACCCAGCCATTATTTTGAAGTTGAACCAGAACACATACTGGTTAATGGGGGTAAGTGCCCTATTATTTTGTATTTCAGGCTATTTTGTAATGCCTTTGGTCACTGAATGAGAAAGGTTGCCGATTTCAATCATTTCCTTAATGCAAGTGGAATTCAAGCTCAGGTATGAGAAGGACCTCTCCAAATGCTCTAATGATAATGGCGACGATGTCGCCATCTATCATTCCCAAGTGAGGAACTGGGCCCGTGCTGGCATTCGCGCCAGGACAACAACAACACGGCCAATCTGGAAGCCCGAGTACAATGCGTGGTCGTTCCACCGTGAAAGTCGGATAGTGTTAATCAGTGATGATGGCATCGACTTGGGCCATACTGCACAGCTGCTGGGTGGCGCGAGCATTATTCCTACCTAAGTTGCAGGAAAATAATTGTGGGCCTATTTCGAAAACCATGCTAAATTGTATTTCGAAGTAGCATTGATTTTAGGTTTTCTTTTATTTCTAATGACATTTCTAAATTCGGTTTTTTTTTATGGCCAATAAATTTATACCAGTTTAGAACACAAATATAGCATGCGATTTCAAAATAGCATACTAATGGTGTTACGAACTAATAATATTATTAACCAGGTAACATTGTTGTCTGCAACGCGAGGCAATGTATAATGCGCATCTGAGCACCCATGATCATCGCACATGTGTCGACGTGTCAGCCGTCGGATATTTGCGTGGTTATGACTCCCCATAAATGTGAAAAACGCATGCATTTTACAAATTCACTGCTCCATTGGTGTAGCCAGGAGTTCCGCAACGTTGTATAGTTATCATTCTCGGCTTGCAAGAAGCTGGCACGTGGACACGAAGAGTTGTTTTGCATCCACACAGACAGAGACTAACCTTCCCCATCAGCTCATCCAGATGTTTCGCGAGCAAATCTCGATCGTGCCTACTTTGTGGGAGAGCCGTGTTGTGTGCTGCAACTCAGATTCAATGCTACCTCCACGATAAATTGAAACACACGTTTTCCGAACCTAAGATCACATGCCAAGTTTATACCCTCACCCCCCCCCCCCCCCCCCCCGCAACCCTGACGATACCCCAACGTAGGTTTCTGAAGCCCCAATTTTTTAGATGGAGGGCAGGCGCAAGTGACAAGGGCAAGCGCGAGTGACAAGGGCAGGCGCGAGTGACAAGGGCAGGTGCGATTGATGAAAGCAGGCATGAGTGGCGAGGGGGAGCACCTTTGACGAAGCGCAAGAAACGTGGGGTAGCATGGAGATGCACTCATTTGTGTGTTGGTACGGTATAACAAACGTTCCATGTGAGTAACGTGCAACGTTACAAAGTTGTGTGTGACACTAGGCTTGACGTGCCTAGCTATTGGCGCGACAGCGTGGTGACGTGAGTTGCTGTACAAAAAGACGTTATGGGTTCTAACTCTTGCCACACTTGCTTGTCCTTCCCACTTACGACAATGAGCTAGGCAGACTATGAGTACAACTACGTGTTCAAGATATGTGAGAGGAGAACACTGATCCGGAGTGAGTGACGAGCGGTTCAGTTTTGCGATTGAGCACAAAAGCTAATCAAGAGAAGTGTCGCTAGGCATTGTCCCATACTCACGAGAGTTTTGTCAAACAAAGTAGGGTAATCTTGTTTTGGCGAGTTCAAGTTCAAGAATCTTGAACTTGAAAAACACCACGCTGTACTTGGGCTTTAACATGTTTCAGTTTCAAATGAATGTACATGGAAATTCCCCCTATAGAGGAAGAGGGGATCTTATATTGATTACCTCTCAAAACGGTGGGGGGGGGGGGGGGGGGGGGGGGCAGGGTATGACAAATTCGAGGCTTAATACATCAGCCCTTCCCCTCCCCCCGGTGTCTTATATCCGAAAACATATGGTAGATACGTTTTGCAAGGGGTTACTTCCGTATTTGGAAAGTATGGGTTGACCTCTTGTCGGCGCTGCCGTCTTGTCGACCAACAAGTCCGCAATCGTCTAACCCATAACTTCTCCCTCTAGAATCAACACTGCTACAAAGAAGCCACTTCATATCTAGGGTTGTGTGGCTTTTATAACATTTTGAGCAACGAACAAGCGATACATTAAAATTGTGGCATTACGTTTTTACAAAGGGGGACAGGGGGAGGTGGAGCATTTCCCTCGATGCTTAGCCCAAGAAACAGGACCCTGAGCCGCCAACCCAACGGGGTCCCCTGCATTGTTGATTTGTGCACCCATTCTTGCGTTTTTCATTCAATTTCCAATTCTCGAGCAGTTGGTTCAGGTGTAGGCATGGCGTTGGTCGGGATGAAGTGTCCCATTTTAGAGAACTTGTCGATCACCACGAGTATAGCGTCGTGCCCTCGTGAGGTCGAAGGTAGCCCACTGATGAAGTCTAGGCTGACAACTTATCGTGGTTGCTCCGGTACAGGTAGAGGCTGAAGTAACCCTGCTTTTTTCTGCTTACTACTCTTCATCCGATGGCACGTGTCGCATGAGGTGACGAGCTGCTACACGTCTGCTGCCATCCCAGGCCAGTAGTAATACTTTGCTATCCCTGCTAACGTCTTGTTGCTCCCGAAGTGTCCCGCGTACTGTACGTCGTGAAACTCCTCCAGCAGAATCTGTCGGAGCGGGGCATAGTTCGGTACCCAAACCTTTCCTGATCCCTTTCTTACAGCTAAGTCCTTCTCCCATTGTAACAGCTTTTGTTTCTCTGCCGTAGTAATCTCTGCGTCCACAGAGTACCCATGTTGGAATAGACCCTTGAGCAGAGGGTTCATCCCGTCGAGTTGGATGTCTGCTACATGTCCGGGGCGTCTCAACGCGTCTGCTTTGTTGTGTAGCCTGGGCTTGTAGACGATGTCATAGTGGAAGTGGGTCTCCAAGAAGTCCAATCACCGCACCTGTCGACGTGAGAGTGTCAGCTGCGACTTCAGGTATCTGAGACTACAGTGGTCAGTACAGACTGTAGTCTTGGCTCCCTCTAGGTAACACCTCCACGCCTTGAAGGCTATGACTATCGCTAAGGCTTCCTTGTCATGGATGGGGTAGTTCAGTTCTGTCCGTGTAACTTCTTACTGCGGAAGGCGAGGGGCTGTAAACCGCGTCCGTGATCCTGCATCAGTGTTGCTCCGATTGCTTGGTCACTAGCTTCTGCTTCCACCATGTCGTCCTTGTCTGGGTCCGGTAGGACGAGTATTTGCGCTGTGGTCAGTGCTGTGTGTAGCTGCTCCATGGCTTGCTGTTCAGGAGTACCCCATTTGTAGGGCGTATGCTTTTTCAGTAGGTCGGTCAGTGGTGCTGCTGTCTTAGCATACTGTGGCACGAACCTGTTGGAGTAGTTGGTGAAGCCTAGGAACTGCTGCAACTCCTTCACGTTCTCACGAACATTCCCTATATCCGTCCAGCTTCGCAACTCCACTCGTTTCCCGTTGTTGTAGATGCACGTTTTCCAGTTTACCCAGTCGATCTCGGGGTTAAAGCGCTTCAAAAAATCACGCCCCAATATGAAATCCAATCCCTTGATGTTCGTGATCGGCAATGTCGGCTTCCACCTCAATGCCCCTATCTGCAGGTGCAGTGTTTACTCGCTGTGGATGGGAAGCTTCGTACCGCCCACCATTGTTGCTGCAAACTGGGTCTCTTCTGAGGATTCTCCAATATTCTCCAACGTCCCGTGGTCGCACAACGAGTCGGACGCACCACTGTCCACGAGGGCCTGGAGGCGTCGCCCATTGCAGATCACCTCGAGTACTAGTGGTTGTTGCCACTCCAAGTAGATGTAGATGGTGTTGCTTAAAGGATCATAGGGTAGACCAAATGTATCATCCCTTGCTAAGGTCTTCTCAGGGCAAGTGCTTCAATCTTGGGACAGAAGTTGTTTCTTCGAGGTTGACTTGGTCGTCTTTTATTGCTGGTTCCAACTGTGAGGTAGAGATCTACGCTCGGGCCATGGCTGCAGAGGAGCTTTGTTGGCTGTCTCTCTTTCTCACTGACCTTGGTGGGTGGCCTCACTCTCCCCCAGTCTTGTTCGCTGACAACAGATCCATGATCCTACGGTGAAGGCTCACACTGAAGAGACATCAACTAATTGCGAGACAACTAACAATTACTTGACGTATTGATGGTCATGAAAGCATTGTGTACTCAAGGGAAGACTAGGTTTGGCGCATGTAATAGCAATTCAAAAGCATATGAACAATTGGGAGTTACAAAACCATAGCTTTACTGTGAATGTTACTCAAGTCCTGCAACGAGACAATCTAAATTAGCAAACATAATGTCAGACACAAAAATAGAACGAGGAAAAGGAAAAACTGATAAATGAGAGTGCACAGGATTAAACTGCATTTTGAATCGACATAATTGGGTTCAGGTACATTATACCATACATCGGTTATGGGCAGTTTTAAATTGGTACTCATGTTGGGCAACTAGCAAGAAAAAATGTTCGTGCAGGTGGTTGATAATTTCGAATTCGTGGTGAAAAAGTTGCGACGACACTAGTTGTTCCAATGCACATGTACGTTTCCACATGCAGCTCGTAGGTGCTTCGATGAAAAATGGTAGGTGGCAGTGAAACATCATTTCATAATATTAGCCAGATTTGACACTTGTTTATTAGTTATCAGTGTTCCCGAAGTTCGACAATGCCTAGCTCGATTCCATTCCGCACAATATATTATAGAAACATTTGACAAAATATATGTTATTATGTTTTTTTCGAACGTCGAGAAACAACCAACACACACATACACACACACACACACACACACACACACACACACAGACATGTTATAAACAAGAAGTGTTGAACTAGAAAGATGTTGGAGTACAAGTACGAAACCCTAAAGATGTGTACTCCCTAAAGGCTAGCCCACTATAGCCTACACAACAGAAATATA